TTTGTTTTCATGGGCTGAATCACATGTTACATAAGAGCAAGTTGGGCATCTCTGCTGAAAACATCATTAAAATGTTTGATATAACAGATGCTGGACAGAAGGCAGAAAAAAAGACCCTGTTAAACTGTCTATTGCCTTTGGTGTTTCAGAATGTTAGATGCAATTGATGAAGGAAATCATCTATCATGACACACTGCAGCATTGTAACTGTCATGACAATGTGCATCAAAAGTATAAATCATACATAGTATTTGTATAAAGTTATTTTCATAATCAAGTTGGCAGCTATTTAATTAATAAATCTTTCAACTCAATTTACAAACAAAACTGCCAAACATTTTATGGGTCTGGCTTCTAAATGTGATTTTCCTTATCTTACATTATAGTAAATGAAATATATTCGGGTTTATGGCTGTTGGTCATAGACATTTTAAAAACCCTTGGAGTCTTGTGATGCACATTTTCACAATTTTCATATATTATATAGACCAAATGATTAATTATCTTCAACAATAATGAACATTTTTGTTAGTTTCTGCCCTAAACTATTGATTATGGTACTATTGATTTTTCGATGAATTGATCAGCCATTAGCTTAGAAATTGTTGGAACATAATGAAAGTTACAATTTCCCTGAGCTTATGGTGACACTGCCTGATTATAACAGTTATTATTTTAAATTGTACAAGCAAACTGAAATTAACAAAAACAAACATGACAAACAATCGACTATCCAAATAGATGCTAAATCATTTTCTGTCGAACAAGAAATCCTTTCAGCTCTGTACAGTAGATGTCACAATGGAGGTGCATGGATTTGGATTTATTAAAGAAGGTCCAGAGGAAACACTGTGGTCCTGCTTACAGTATTTGCAGGCCAGTAACTGGGTGGGGGGGCATTGGAGTGCGATGTCTGTGCATGCCGTGTATGTGCCTATTACTCACTCTTCAACCTCCCCAAATTAATTTTCAAGTAAAAAGGAAATAATTAGACTGGTGACTTGCAGTTCTTGAAAAGATTGGTTTTGTTATTAGTGATGACTTCTTCAGTGTAGGGTGTTTCTTATGTGATGCTGTCAAGATATGATTTGCAATGTTGCAGCATTATGACAGTCTTAAGCACAAAAGTGCAATAAATTCTAAGTTGTTTTATCGACTAAATCATGATGCAAAAGTAAATCGTCATCAGTTCATCCCCGATTCCATCCAACAACATAATTAAAATGAAATATTTGAACTAATTACGATATTTCCATTATTTATGGGCCCACCCGGTGGAATCAGATGCCCATCCAAGAAGTTTCCTCTGTTTACATAAGTAGTACATAAGTATGTGTCTCTGTATGAATGTGCATGTGTGAGGGGGAGGGAAAGAGAGAATTTTTGCTCATGCAAACTTGTGGATGCATGCCTCTTTCTTTGGGTCAGATATGAAGGTCAGAGAGCTGGCAGCCCTGGAAAAAATTGCAAGTCATCCCACAATAAAGTAGATCTTCTTGTAACTACCTTTTCCGCTCTGTGTCACATCTTGTTCAACAGGTAGGGTTTGATGGACAGGAGGAATGCAGGCTGAGGGATTTGTTTTGTAATGGCAGTCCATTCTTTGGGTGTTCTTAAGCAAACAGAGTGGCGCTATGTCCTGTTTTTTACAGGTTTCACACGTCACTGTTCAAACTCTCAAACAGGCTGGTCCCCAAGAGTACATGGAAGAGAGCAAACAGTGCTCTAATACTTCACTACTCTGACCTTCTGCTAACTTGACAAACACACACACCTTTTACTAATGCAGTCAGACCATGCAATCGAAAAGGATGTGTGAAATATTCATTTTAATCTTGGATTTGGTGGTTTATTTGTCGTGCGCCTGAATGAAATACAGCAACAAAGACACGGATAGTGTTGACGTAAACCAAGTCCATATGTCATGTTTGAGGAGTATATGAGTGCCCCATTTCAGGCTCCTTGTGCCATCCTAATTAAGTGCTACTTTAATGTGTGTGGGTCAAATGCATGGAAAATTGGTGGGAATTCTGTGGGAAAGTGGAAAATGCTCATAAAATGATGGATCTTAAAGTGCTCCCCAAATTCCAACAAAATGTACTGAAACAGTACAATGTCTATTTTTATTAATGGCATGGAAAAATATAGAGGAAACATGTAGTGCTCCCTGGTTGGTGCACACAGCCGCGTGTCTCAGGCTGATTTAGTTTATGTAAGCATGTGTGAAGTAGTTGGGTGCATATGTGTCTGGACTTGTGTGTCACTGCAGTGTGCCTTTACAGTACTGCCAAGCCTCCCTGCCATGTTGTCCTTTTATGCAAACATAAAGGAACCAAACAACGCCTACTGCTTCAATGGATGCCTCTGCAATCCTCTTTTTACTGCTCTTTTCTTTTCCACTTGTTTTAAATCTGTCTCCGATATATGAGGCATTCCTTTGTGGTTGTGTAACATGATTTGAGGCAGAGAGAGAGAGAGAGAGAGAGAGAGAGAGATCTTGCTGGGTTTCATGTCCTACTGTGCGCTCATATTTCTCAGCCCGCTTCACAGTTGTGGGTAGCTGGCTTATCGTTGGCCTCTTCAGCTCTTTCCGTCATGCGTGGCCTACCTTAATCTCTCCTGTGTACTGTAAACCGCCCCTAATAACCCTGAACACGATTAAAGCAAACATCTTAATAACGGCCTGCCTCATTATCAAATCACACTGGGAAAATGAGTGGTTCAACCTCACCTCTGTAATCATACGTATGTGGCTCAGAAGAACAAGACAAAAACAATAACTATAAGCCCGTTAGCTGATTTTCTCATTTTAATAATTAAAATAATTGTTAGGATTTTTGTAGCAATGTAGTAATTGTTACTGATGAATCTGCCTTTTGACTATAATTTTCTACTGTTTATGAAGAGCAGCAATGAGAGTGAGGTGCAGGATTAAATGTGGGGTGTTGCTCTAGAGGGTGCTGTTTACTGAGGAACTGCTTTCCTCTCCCTTCAGCCCTGCTGCTCTCAATAAATCGTATTCTTTTTGCTTTCTAGAAAACACAATGCTTTAAAAAAAAACATCCCATCAGTGTAAACAGCGTTTAACATTTACTGTCCAGCTCTTAGATTTATTGAAATTGGTAGACATTATCCAGATCAAATTCAACTCCCAAGGCAGACAAATACTATAAAATATGATAAATAAAGAAGCAATTTCTCGAAGGAAATATGTTCCATGAAAGAATGTGTGGTATTGTGCCTTTGGGCTTTTTCCGACATGACATTAGGCCATTGTAATCCTTTTGTGTGTGTGTGTCCTGCTCACCTGTGGCTCTCGCTCCGCACACACACACACGCACACACACACACACACACACACACACATTCAGACATACAAATTCCCGCAGATGTTTACACAAGTTTCACACAGCCAACAAGGACACATGATGAGCTGTCAGTCAGACCTCCACTGGCAGAACGGAGATGGGGAAGAATGTGTCCGTGGCGATGGTTACACCTGTGCTGTCTGTGGTTTTCCTGCGGCGGTATTGCAGGGTGTAATCCCTAACATCGCCTGTGTTTATGCTTGTGTTTTAGTTACAGGCCTGATACTAGCATGCTTTAGAGCTTAGATGGGACTTCTGCTTCACTTACTCCTCAGCCTGGCCCAGGGGCATCCTCCCCAGCCTGCCACACACAGGCTCATCTCCGGCATGTAGGGATACAGTAAACAAACACAGTAGCTTTCTGCATGTGTCATACATCCTTTATTCACTTTATGTACACAGAGGCATAGAAACTTAAGTAAAAGGCTTTAATTAAATTCAAATGAGTTTTTTTTCTATCAAACTAGAGACTGCGTTCTGTTTAAAGTTGTTATGTAAAAGGTAACTTGTGTCGAAACTCTGTTCTAAATTTAGAATGTGCAAAACCATATTTTTCTGTTGATTTGGACTCGGATTGCCATAATAGGATCATTTACAGGGAACATTAAATTGCGGTTGTTTCCTTATGTACTCAGAGTATTTGAGGAGGTCTTTTTTTGTTGTTTTATATGGTTTGTATTTCGTCATGAGTGACGCCGGCTGCACCACTGAGGTCATGAATGGGGAGGAGAAAGTTCCAGTGCCAGTGACTGAACTCACTTTTTATTTTAGTAAATATGCTAAATTTAGAGCTCAGCTGCAGCCAGAAGTTCGTCCCAAACTCCCCGAATGACACACCTTTCGAGAAGTGACTCTTAACATCTGCTATTTTTATCATCGTCTTACTTTTTTCCCCTTGTTTTTGTTCCTTTCTCTCCTCTTTTCTTTCTGACAGACACTATAAATGATGCAGTCCTGTTTTTCATTTATAAGATTTGTTGGGTGGATTATTATAGAGAAGGATCCTAATTCCCACTAAAGGAAGGACATGCTTCAGCAGTGTTTATAAAAACACTGCGATCTGACGTGAGTAGCGGTGGAGAACCAGTAACAGGTCCACTCTGCTAACACACCCTCCTTGCACAGCTGCCCAGTGAAAGGTCTGTTGTAATGGTGGCATTTCAACCCTTCAAAGTAAGATGGCCAATTGGATAATGGGATTTGGTTTGCCAGTCTGGGGAGCAGACCAAGCCGTGACAGTGCATAAAGTTACATGTGACAGCTTCTGCTGACTGAGATGCACTACGTAAAGTCTGGCCTAATATAAGTACAGTATTGAAGCCTTGTGGTTCTTCTTCTGTATGATGTGACATTGATGAGATCCATCCGTCACTCGGCTGTTATTTCTGTCTCTGGCCCGTTATTGTCAAGCGGCGCTCTGCTCAACAGTAAAGTGGTCAGTGTTTTGGAACCTGGTTGTGTGGGTTGAGGCTTTGAACAATTTTCCATTTGTACCTCATATTACATACACTGTTTCACCTAAATGAACCCAGCTGAACAAATGGAGAGTAAAGAGTTAAGCAGATATAGCAATGTAATACTGTATGGTTGGTGTGTGAAGTGACGTTTGTCCTCCTTTGATTTTTTTCACAGTGAAGGAATCCAAACTCTTGGAATGAGATGTCAACGTTTAATTGCTTCCCAGGGATCTTCTGGTGAGTATATATGTTACTAAAGACTCTGCAAATAGTCTCAGTGTTAAATTTCTCTCCTGTAAACTTCGTCTGTGTCCGTGTGCCTAACCACGTCTCCCTATTGGGCAAGCTTAGCTGTCATAAGGTGATGTTATGTCCTCATCTCCAAGCTTTTTTTTGTCCAGAAGTGTTTTGCTTTACAGCTCCTGTGGCTCGCCCAGATGTGCTAAATGTTCTTACTATCTGTAACAAAGCAGATGTATGCCAGAGACTTATAGTGTACTGTGGTTTAGGCTTGTAAAACTGACGCAACTCCCTCTACTTTAACTGTTGGCACAACTGGTAACCAAATGTTGTTAATTATTTAGCTTAACATGAAGAATTTAGACAGAATTTACTGGGTGATATTTGTTGTGGTTTACTTAAGAGATTGTTCTCGTCCTCAAAATGAAATTTTAAAACAAATCATTTAATTACACTGCTTTACATAGCCACAGCCATCAATGCTGTTTTGTAACTGTGCCGTAGCCTGCAGCACTGAATGTACTTAGCCCCTCTCCCACATCCCATCAGCCCCCCCCCCTCCTTCCCTACTGGTGCCCCCTATCCCTTACTCCTTCATTCAGCTGGTCCACCCTCTACCAACCAGTGTGTGCCTGTCAGCGTGTCACCCCAGGGTGATGCCCCTCTCTCAGCCCCTTGGGGCCCTTTTGACTCTGCAGCACTCTGTGTTTGCCCAATCATTTGGGAGCCGGATACGGGGATGAATTGTTAACTACAGCAGGTCACTCTGTGCCCCACAACCCCCGGCCCTCTCTGCTCCCCCCCCCCGACCTGCTGTTGACTCATCTCCATGGCGATGGGGCA